CTCACTTAATGGGTTGAAGCAAAGTTGAACTTAACTAAGAACTATTTTTATGCTGACAATGCATACTGCTAAATATACTAATCATTCCTTTTCTTATGAAGAACAACTAATTATTCATTATTTTCTTTTTGTAGGAGATTTGAGTACACGTGTCATAACTTTTCTGGCTTCTTTTAATTTTTCAATTATTAGATAGAATTTGACTTTTTCATTATTTAATAAAATTTTGTGATATGTTTAATCTAATATCAATATAGCAAAATCCAGCTTTAGCATCAAAAATAAATTATATGTTGAATAAATGAAAATTTATTCATGCATCATTTTTTTTTTTTATTTTATTTCAATAAGAAAACGATTGATAGATAATAATATATGAAAAAACGTTATTGTTTTTTTCTTTTTGTTGAATTTTCGGTTATATTGATTTGATCATCATCGGAACAAATATAATAACATAAATAGAACAACCTGTACCACTATATCCATAACAAGAACATCTACCACCATTTAGCAATAATAAATTTAATTTTAATTTAATCTCTAAACAGAGAAAACAAAACACTAGGTTCAATAGCTGCTGTATTACTTACATATTCTATTGTAATAGGAGATGGATTTTTTATTTAATATCAATTCTGTAGAATGCAGCATTAGTATTAAAAATAACTACAGGTGGTTTTATTTATGCTATTATATGTGTTCAGATGATGGTCGAATTAATATGGTCGAAATATCAACAAAAAGAAAAAACAATAACATTTTTTCATATATTATTATCTATCTATTGTTTTCCTTATTGAAATAAAATCAATAAAATATTATGCAGAATTAAATTTTCAGTTATTCAATATATGATTTATTTTTGAACTGAAGAAACTCATCAGCCTTTAGAATGCAAGAAAACTAAAGAAGGTAAGGAAATCAAGGAACTTAAGGAACCCAAGTAACTATAGAACTTTGTCGGCTTGTGTCTGAGCGTAGAAAATATTTGTACCCATATCTTTAAGTCATCGCGACTGTCAAAAGTATGGTTCTAACGATGGGAAGGTTTCCAAGTGTGAGTCTCAGTTTTGAGTTCGATACATACTAGTTTGTAGAACCTGACGAGTTGATATTCGTGGTATGTTCTGTTTTTCCCCATAGAACTTCAAATGCAAAAAACAATGGATCGTTTTTACTAGCAAATTTCATTACTTTGAGTAAGTTTTGAGACAATTATTAGTAATTTGGGACTTGAAGGATTCTTAAAGTTTAAATGATCATGTTAAAACGTAGGCAATGCTACATGTGAGTCTATTATTATATTATTTTAAACATAAGTTAAGCTTCACTTTATGGATACACTATAAAAATTTTTTTTTTTCAGAACTGACATAATTTCTCAAAGAGTAACAATTCTACAATCAATATTCATAGCAATGGTGGAATTGAGTTTTACAAGGAAGTAATCTTCTTCTATTCTTTTAAACTAATTAATAATAGAGTTTCTTAAACGGTATTGCCTGTGTTTTAACATGACCATTTAAACTTTAAGAATCCTTCAAGTCCCAAATTACTAATCAATGACTCGAAACTTACCCAACGTGCAGAAATTCAACAGTAGAATCGATCCGTTTTTTTCGATTTGAAGTCCTATCAGAGAAAACAAAACATACTATTAGTATCAACTCGTCAAGTTCTACAAACTGGTATGTATCCCATTCAAAACTGAGACTCACACTTAGGGACTTTCCTCGCCAGATACGAAAGATTTGATATCTATGAAAAGTATTTTTTGATTTTGAAGATCTAACTCTACAAAAATGTTTCACTGCTTGCCTTAGATATTATTATTTATTCAGATAGTTCTTTCAATATCATTTAATAAAAGACTCAAAAACCTTCGAGAAACGAGACTATTTTGATAAGTTCGTATACTAGGCAATTCAAGCAACATGTTCGTATGTTGATCACAAAAATCTTTTTTTTTGACAGAAATCGAGTTTTCTAAAGAGAAAGGATGCTCTACTAGAAGAACATTGTCTTTCGTTTTTCCAGTTGAAGTTTCAACGATTCAAAGATTAATCCTTATGAAAGTTTCTCTGTTTTGACAACAGACGACATTCCACTTTTATTCATCAATACGAAAAATCGAATTTCTTTGGATATTGGTTGTTAACACAAACGGTATTTCGAATTGCCAGGGCACTAGGATACAATCATTATTGAAAACATTCGATTTGGATATAAATACTGAATACGTAATGTGTTTATATTCTAAACCTATTCAAATATTCTCATCGATCGATTTAAGTTATCTTATTCTGAAAGGACTATCAGTTTATAATGACATTTCTCTATTGAATTTATAGTTGTTCGAAAAAAGATTATTCAACGGTAAGATTCATTTTAATCATTTCACAATATGCGATTGGCTCAATAATAGTATCCAGTATAAGAGATTTTATCATCCTCCGCACTGATTTTTTCCGTATTTATCGTAATACATAGATTCAAATATATATTATTGTTGCTTTTCACTTTTATCAGTTGCATATTATTTATTAATATGAATCATCAAAACTTTTAATATTAAATTAATAATTAAACGACAACAGTTATTTTTTTTTTTCTTTCTTTATATGTTCTCGTAATTCTAAAGAAAGTAAAGAAAAATCTTTTAACACATATTACATTTTTGTTATTCTATCTATTCATCTATTTGTTCGTTTGTGACGACATTCATTGTTATTATCGATATCGCATTTGAATTTCTCCCTAGTAGAATCATGGCTATTCGTAATGTTCGAAGAGATATGAATTCAAACTATCAAACGAATTCTAATGTATCTCATTTAATATCATCATTATTGACCCCAACGTCTTCATCACTAAAAACTATTCGAACTCCAACTACACGACAAAAAACAATGATGAACTATGATCGCATGCCTTATCGTTATACAACTGTTTGTTAAGATTTTTTTTAAATAATATATAGTTTAAATGGCTGCTTTTACTCTCTAGGCTACTTTACTTTCTTTACGATCACCAATAGAAACAACGATATTTCCAGATCATCTAGTCGAACGACGTTTTCTTGAGTAAATATTCGAAAATTTTTAATTAATCTTAATTGCATATATTTAGTGAAGAAAACTATATTGATCTCGATCGAATGTTGGTAGAAAAAGCTGGTAAATTTGATTTAAAATCATTCAATATGCGTTATGGACCCATAATGCCAAATAGAATATATAAATATGATTTTTCTGATTCTGCCGTTATTGAAGTAAATTATATTTGTTTCTCTTTACATTGTTATTTTTCTCTATTAAACTTATTTAGAAAGTAAAAAATCGTCGTCCAAAAGATCTTTTAACACCTCAACAAGTAGCTGCTCTTACATCAGTTGCAACACGTTATCAACCATCAACATTATTATATTCTCATCAAATACAACCATCACATGTTTGGATTGATGATTATAGTCATCAACAAGTACAATTTAATTCATCTCGGCATCATTTACCATTACAATCTTCAATGCCTTATCAAAGACAAAACCCTAATCAATGCGAGTTATATACAAATCAAATTAAATCTCTTTTACCAACTTGTCAATCAATTATTGAAAAGAAAAATAATGATGCCATGAATAAAAAAATAAATACAATTCCAATTTTACAACGATTATTCGATGCGCAACGACTTCAACAGTAAATGAAAATATTCATTTTTCTAAATATATATCAACTTTCAATATTAGATTGAGGAGTAAACTACTGTTAAACTTGAGTTAGTCTGTAGATCAACGTCGTATTCGAATTCATATTAATGAAATAAGAAAAAGCAACGGTATTTCAATTAATAAAATTATAAGTTTAGTAAAGAAAAGAGTGATTATGGACACTTTTGTATTGAAGTAGTTCTTACATATCAAAACAATCATTACTTCACAGATTCAAACTTAATTGATCAATGGAATATCGTATTAATTGAAACTTCGTTGTTTTCTCTGATTTAATCAATAATAATCTGAATACGGTATTGATCTACAGGCTAATTCGAATTTCAATATCAATGTATCTCTCAATCCAAGAGTTGACATAATTTCATATTTGACGCTAACATATGCACATATTCTTATGTTTAGAAATGAACACAGAAAAAATAATTTATCACAAATAACAGATATCGTAAGTAATTCATCACAACAAAATCATAAATAATATTCTATTTAGTCTGATCAACAATCACTCTCAAATCTAATGTCAACACCAGAACATTATGAACAAGGTTTATCTGTATTTTGCACACCACCAACACCAAAGCAATCAAACTCGAATAAAACATTCGAACGATTTTTTTCAATTAATCAAAATCATAAAGTATTCATTTATTTTCTCTAATTTTTTTACCTTCATTACATATTTTATTATCATTTTAGACGACTAACAAACAAAATCAAGTAAATGAGCTTTTTCGTTTTCATTGATAGTAAAACATATTATTATTATTATTATTAGGATGTATTTACTCAATTGATTAATGAAAATTTGAGATGTTCAACAACAATGGAAACACCTGCTACACCAACTATTCATATTAGTGAAGCCAATAATAATACTCATCATGGTATAGAGAATGATGATAAACAAAATTTTTATTCGGCACCACCATCACGTATGTTTCATTTGAATCAATTCAATAATATTATGTTTTCTTGTTTGAATTCTAGCTATTCAACAGCAAGATAGTTCATTATCATTCTTGAACAATCGTACAGTAGATAAATTATGTTTTTCAACATCAGCTGAAAATCACTCATTAGAATATTGGTTTGGTACTTCCATATATACAAATACTTATCCACGTATGCCATCAGATTGTGTTTTATCAGCATGTGATTTCGAACAGTAAAGTTTGTTTTTTTTTTTATATTGAACCTCTTTTTTATTGTTTATCCATTGATTTGGAATGATGATTTTAAAATAAAAAGAAAAGATAGTTTTATCCTACAGTTCCACAATATGTTTAACAGGAAATAGATGATAAGGATGGATTTTGAATGTTGGATCAAGTGCAATTTCCATACGAGATGATGATGATGATGATAAACAATGTTCGTTAATTTTAGTAGTAGATGAAAGAATAGCAGCACTTTGATTGGTATTACTAAATATGAAAGAATATATTCGTTTGATATTATCTAGAAAATAATTGATTGTACTTGATTTTATTGTTTATTGTACTAATCGGTAATGCTATCGAATTTTGACTTTGCGAAGTGATTACATAAACAGGATATTGTTCTTGTTTTTCTTCATTTTCACGTTGAGTTCTTTCGATTTTACCTAAGAAGAACTACGTTTTTTTTTTCTTGCGAATATTTTAGAAAAAAGGAAAAAAAATGTCAAACGTCGTGCTCGTATCATATTTCCACAAAGAATACCAAAGATTATGGCGACAGCCAAAATACAACTGACACCTAATATTAACATAGGTAATGCCTTTTCTATTCCTATTCATAACATAACCAAGACCAATATTATGAATAGTTGTAAAAAGCACTTACCAATACGTTGGATAGACATGTTGAAGAAGCTCGTTTATCAATTAAAGAAGTTCACGTAGGCGCCAATATATGTCTTCATGAATACTTTCACTCTTGATTTCACATCGAATGTTTCAATATCTTTAATTTTAATTTTTTTTTTTGTTATTGTCTGAAACATCAATGGATATGATATGACAGTAAAAAACCTTCCATCACACAACGGGCAACTTCTGTGACAAAGAAAAACTTGAAAAAAAAATAAAGTTTTTAGAAACATGCATCTCAGTACAGAAGCATTTGCACATCTTTACGCTAACTGCGTGTATGTTCTAGATATAGAAGAACATGCTTTGAAAGTATCGGCGAATTATACTGAAAACGTCTTCTTAGAAAACGCATCGCGTAATACCTAATGCCCACGTTTTTTTGCCTGCTGTTCATAACAAATAGGATAATATTTTACTGAAAAAAATAGTATGTTCAAATCATTGACTACGTATTTATATATATTTTATGAAAAACAATCGAAAAAAGAAATATATATTTTTACAACATAATGGATATTAAGGACGAAATTGTTCTGATTTTACTGTAAATGCTGGACGTGGTGACGTAAAACGATTAGTTTTTGGATCAAGAAATATATAATAAGGTCGATTTTGACCATCAATACCTAATACACCAATATTACCATCATGTAATCGAAATGTTTTATCAAATTGTTTAAATTTCAAATTAGTTGATATTGATATCCATTCACTAAAATTATCTAATAGAGCACAATTTAAATTTGTCGATACTTGTAAATTATTATTTGTATCAATTGCTAATAGATAACATGTTTGATCAGAGCTTGATTGATTTAATGGTTTCGATGTTATAAAAGTAGGTTGACTAATAAATTGATATTTTCGTTCTCGACTGATAGATTGCCATGTACTCCATACACCCGATTTTGAAAGAATTCGATAAATTTGTCCATTTTCAAATATAGCAAAACAATACCGATGTATTTGTCCAACATAACTACAAACAGGTGCTGTTTCATCACGTATTCGATCAGTTGGATTATTTAATTGAGTAGTTTTCCATGTATCTTTTGATAATTCAACATATTCTGTAAGACCATATGCCGAATTTCGAGCAAAACAATAAATTTGTCGACTAGTTAATAATTCATAAATATAACACATTGGATCACCTGATAATGATGATGCAATGTTATGTGCTGATAAGATTTCATCATCAACAATTATTCGACGATAAAGTATATTTTGAGAATTACGAACATAAACAGCAACATTATTTTTATCAGTTAAACCAAATGCAGTACCCTGATTAATACCACCTATATTTTCTATACTATGAAATCCTTTTCGTGTAAATTGAGCAAGTTTAAGAGAATGTTGAGAATCTCCAACACTCAAACCAAAACAATATTTGGTGTCATTACTACATACAGACAAATAAAAGTATATTTCATAAATACAGTAAAACTTCTCGATGTGAGCACCTCATTATACGGAGCAGTACACAATTCTTTCCAGCAATGTCCAGCTAGAAAAAAAAGATTATCATTTTTCATATCGTCTCTATATTTATGATTATCTAACTCTACATTTATCCTAATCATTCTTCATATTTGTGGTTTCGACTATTAAATATGCACTAGTATGATCTTTTGTTGAATAATTTTGTCCTTGAAATTATAAATATATAACTTTATAATTCTAATTGTAGAGAGGATGTCAAAAATGTTGATTTTTTCTAGTTGGATATCTCTTATAATCTGAGCAAGAAATCTTCTTTCACTAGGGTACAGAATGAGGGAATGAACTAGCTATGGATATTTAAAAAGAAAAAAACCACATTAGACAGCAGCAATAAGGTTTGGTTTAACATCTCGTTGTTATTATGTTCATAGCTAGTAACATTACACCATCTTAACATGTGTTCATTTATCTAAGTTGAACTAATTCATTGTTGGAAAGAAGAAAAAGCTCATATTGTGCAATTGACAAGCGATTACAACTGAATATTTTGCAGATTACCAATAAAGAAACTGAAAAATTCCGTAAAGTGAATACTTTTGATCGGTTCCGATGGTGCCCACAATAGAGAAGTTTCATTGTAAACGAAAAACAGAAGTTTACTTGAAAGTACAACTAAGTTGTGGTAATTCTTCTAAAATTCGATTATCGATAAGAAACCAATCAAATGAAAGTTCTTTTTCAGTAATTGATCTTACTGTAACCATATGATAAATATTATTAGTACCAAGAACGAGACATGTTGTTGCATAGTTCTCATTAATACAATCGACAATACGACGAACAGTTGTTTGACCTTGATATGAATATTAAAATATATATGAATATATGAAAAAAGTAAATACAAAAAAGTACTACCACAATTCGAATCTTTTGCCCAATAGATACTCGCTGCACATACCTAAATTCGTAATAGATAAATTTTGATTCAAAGATAATGAAATAATAATAAAAAAAGAAATGATTTACACATATTTTTTTCGATAAACCCGGTGGTTTATCACATACAAGACCAATTTCTCGATGACATTGATGGTCAATATCACATGAATCATTAATTTCACCTTTACGAACTATAAATAATCATACTTACATATATGGGAAAGATGGCTATGCAAACTATTTTTTTTATCTTACGGCATTTATTTTGTTGAACTGACCAATAATGAGATCCTTCACATAGACAACTTTTATTTTCATTCCATCCATATTCACATAATAATCCATATTCAGTATAGCAATCATATAATTGATCACATGATTCTTTATATGTACGTTTTTTGCCTATGGTGGTGGGTTTTGTTGATGAACTTGATATAATCTGTTGTATAATTGATATTTTAAAAAAAATTTCTTTTTTTTGAAACGAATTTTTTCTCACCGATATTGATGTTTGCATGGTACTTATTGATGTAGTCGGTATTGAACTGACTATTAACAAACCAATCAATGATAAAATTTAAGAAAATATAACTCATTCTTACTACTCAATGTAGAACTTGTGCTTGTTTTAGTTGTCGATGGACATGGATTTGGTGGACAAATAAAATTCGTTTGAGTAATTTTATAATTCAAAGATATAGGTGTAAGAAGATACCAAATTAATAGTACTATTGTTGTAACCAAAGAAAAAGCAACGAATATACCAATAGGACAGATGAAACGATGTGATAGTTGATTCTATAGAAGATAAATTTTTAGATAAGTATACAAATGAATTTAATTTACGTTAATAAATCTTATGAATTGAGGCATTATGGAAAATTTATATTATAGAATTCACCTTCTGTTGTATAAAATGATTAAAAAAAAACAAACATCTACATCGCCAGGTGAAATTGATATGATACATCGGTAGACATCCATTAATAAATGTCACTGAGCCATTAATATCAGAATGAAATCGATGTTACCTATTTAATGATAAACACCATGCTCTATCATTGGAATAATCTCATCTTCAGAATACATTAATAAAAAAAAAAAAAAGAAGGGAAAAATTAATAATTCAAACAACAAATCATAGTTAATCGACATTGATTTTAACTCATGACTATGAGAAGAAAGAATTTTAACGTACATCGTCATGATTAATTGTATGATCAAATATGTTACTACATTGATTCACAAACACTTATAAATAGAACATTATTCAATACTTGTATTAATAGTTTATCGACAAGAAAAACAATACAATAGATCATAAACAAATTATCATATATAAAAGCAAAATATAATATTATGTATTATCCAATTTCAATGTTTTGTACTAAACTACTAATGATCGATACATTTTTTTTTTAAATGTGAACAAGTAAGAAAGATCTTGCCTATTTCATAGGTAGGCTCTGATGATAGTGGCAAATTCTTAAATTGAATATAAGATCAATTGGAATAGCGTAATCTGATAAGGACGAGTTTCTTACTTGTATTCACGACACTTTCTGAAACAATGTGCATTTATCGTAATCACAGCAACATATAATTTATTATCAAATAGACATATATCTGGAGAATAGAGTGTTATGGCTATGACACTTTTCTACATCTTAATAAAATAGAAAACTGAGAAGAACTGTATAATTTTGTCTTTTAATGACATCTATGAAATGGATTCCTTTATTGGATATATTAATTTTCTGCACATCTTCTACCCGATTATAGAGATATTTATATAGATATATATAACTTAGTTGTTGAATATAAATTTTAAGATGATTTACACATGATAGGTAATCAATAGAGGATAGATCAATAGGATAAAAAACAAAATCTAGTGGATATCGAGGTATTATGATTTTCTTTTTTTCTTCTTTCTCTAACCGGCTGATATCAATCGAAATTTCGTTCTTATATATCTTCTTCCTTTACTTTCAGAATGCGTTCATCCAAATAGTAAAATCATGTTCGAGTAACTACAAACACATAATAGATTTTTAAAAATTACCAAAGTGGCTCCATCATTATATCCTACATATTCATCATCGTCATCTATTAATCCAAAGTCAATGTTAAATCAAGAAGAAATTCATCGTTATTTTAATCATTTAAGTGGAGCAAAACGTATCGAGTTTTTATATGGCCTACTGCATTTATGTCAACCATTAGAATTACGATATTTAGGCACATGTTTAGAAGAAATAGCACGTAAAGATTATGAATATTTATATCATGCTGAACAAAAAACAAATCTTTTATCAACACCAACTATGTCATCATCATCAACTTCATCCGTATCAAGTAACAACGAACAAAATAATCAACAAACAGATCTTTTAACTGATGAAAAATTAGATTTAACTGATCAATTTACACGTGCACATGCTATTGTTGATATTGGTAAATGATTTAAATCAATGAAAAAAAAACAAATCAAACAAAATTTGATATTATTTTTTCTGTTTTTTTTTTGCATTTAGCTCTACTTTGGGCAAAAAACCGTGCGTGTGCTATTCGATTATTTCGTCGTTTAAAATCAAGTGAAAGT